ATACGGAGGAAGGGCGAAAGGTTCTTACCTCCCCCCCACCCCCTCCCGCCAAAAAAATAAATAACAGAGAGAGAGAGAGAAGGGAAAGGGAAAGAGAAGATAAAAGGAAAGAAAGAAGAGGAAAAAGAAAAAAAGAGGGACACGGGGGCGAAGGGCTCTTGCCCCCCCCCCCCCGGCCACCCCCCCCCCCCCCCACCAAAAAAAATAAATAAGAGAGAGAGAGAGAGAGAGAGAGAGAGAAGGGAAAGGGAAAGGGAAAGAATATAAAAGGAAAGAAAGAAGAATAAGAAGGAAAGATGGATACGGGGGAAGGGCGAAAGGTTCTTACCTCCCCCCCCCCCCCCCTTCCCGCCAAAAAAAATAATAAGAGAGAGAGAGAGAGAAGGGAGAGGGAAAGAAAATCTAAAAGGAAAGAAAGAAGAGGAAAAAGAATAAGAAAAGAGGGAAAGGGGGCGAAGGGCTCTTGCCAACAAAATAAATAAGAGAGAGAGAGAAGGGAAAGGGAAAGAGAAGATAAAAGGAAAGAAAGAAGAGGAAAAAGAATAAGAAAAGAGGGAAACAGGGGCGAAGTGCTCTTGCCTCCTCCCTCCCCCTCCCCCCCCCCCCCCCCCCCCCCGCCAAAAAATAAATAAGAGAGAGAGAGAGAGAGAGAATCTGTTCTGATCCTGGTCCTGATCCTCAAGAGGGATATAAAGATGACCAATAAGAACGTTATCGTTCGAGAGAGAGTGTTTGTTGCTTCTAGAACATTTTAGAATTAAGTCCCATCACATTGCAGTTGTGGGGAGGGACTATGATTATATTACCCCCTTGGATGGCTTCCCATAAGAGTCCGGCTTTGAAGGTTTCGACTGCGTCGCAGGCAAAGATGCTGGGGGGGGGAAGTAAATTCCAGGCCCGTATGGTTCTTGGAAAGAAGGTGAGTCGATATATATCCGTCTTATGTTGGAGAAGGAGAGGGAAAGAGAAGATAAAAGGAAAGAAAGAAGAGGAAGAGGAAGAAGAATTTGTGTTCTGCCAGTGTCACAAATAGATATATAAATATGCTCATCTGACGATAATTTGATGTATAAAACCCCTCACCTTCTTGGGGCTCCGCCCCTTGGATCCAACACCAATTTGTGTCCTTCCAGTGTCACAAATAGATATAAAAAATATGCATCTGACCGTTATTTATTGCCCAAAACCCCTGAGCTTCCGGGTGCTCCACCCCCTGGACCCCACGCCAATTCGTGACCCCTGTGTCACAAATAAGGTATAAAATAATAATTATTTAATGGACAAAACTCCTGAGCTTCTGGGGGCTCCGCCCCCTGGACCCAGCACCAAATTGTGTCCTGCCACTGTCACAAATAAGGTATAAAATTATGCTCATCCGACGTTAATTTTGATGTTTAATACCCCTGAGCTTCTGAGGGCTCCGCCCTGTGAAAAAAACGTGTAAAAAAAACACGTTAATTTTTACCGTTTTTGGGAGATACCCCCCCCCCCCTGGCGTTCAAGGGGGGGGGGGTACGATTTTTCAAATTTTTGAGGGCCCAAAAAAAGATTAGTGCTCTCTAGTAATTTCGCGAATACTCCGGAACCGCGGCAGATAATTATAAAGTTTTTCTTTCATGACTTTTTTTTCTTTCGAGTCTTACGCATCTTTTGAAACATTTTTTTGTTGAAAATCGGACGTATAATTGCGGAGTCACGTGACCTTTTGTTTTTGCATGTCAGCCCTAAAATCGCTCATTTTTGTGATTTATGTACCAAACATATGGAAATACCATTTATTCTTTAAAAAAAAAGAGAAAACATTGGTTATTTGGTCTTGTTTCAAGTAAATGTGTTTGATTTTGGGTAAAAATAGTTGAATTGTGGTTAGAAATGAAATGAAATAACAAAATAATATAATACATAAATACAAATTATCAAAACAAGAGATAACAAAGGGATAAACTGGCTCTTCCAACTTTGTTGTCGTATTATTATTCTAACGAATATATGAAGTGAAAAAGAACGCTCGAATATGAATTATATATGATTTATGGGTAAAAATGTGAATTCTCTGACCTTGTTTGCATAAATTACCATAAATATGCATTTTCGCGGCGATCGGCTGTGAAACGGCCGAGATCTTAGGGGGACCCCCCCCCCCCCCCCCCACCCTCAAGTCCACTCCAATCACATTGAAAAAAAGTATGACTTAAATCATCTCTCTCATCATTATACCGCTATAGTATTCATGTTTTTAATATTATTTATTGTCCATTAAACAAGTTCATAGAGAAAATACTTATCTCTCTGCAACATTAAAAAAGAATCTTCATTAATATGTCTTAATTTGTATTGATAGCCTTGTGGTAGCCAACAGTGGCGAAGGCAGGGGCGTCTCCAAAGGGGGTGTGGGGGTGCGACACCCCCCCCCCCCACCTGTCAGGATATTGTCGGTAAAATTGCGCTGCCGTCGGGAAAAAAGAGAAAAGGGGGAGGGGAAAAAGAGAGTAAAAGGGAAAGAAAAGAAAAAAAGAAAAAGAAAAGAAAAAAAGAAAAGAAAGGAAAGAAAAGAAAAGAAAGAAAAGAAAGAAAGAGAAAAACGAAAAAGAGGGAGAATAGGAAAGAAAGGAGGCAAGAGCCCTTTGCCCCCGTTACCCTCTTTTCTTCTTATTCTTCTTCCTTTCCTTTTTTATTCTCTTTCCCTTTCCCTTTCCCTTCTCTCTTTCTCTCTTATTTATTTGTTGGCGGGGGGAGGGAGGCAAGAGCCTTTCGCCCCCGTTTCCCTCTTTTCTTCTTCTTCTTTCTCTTCTTTCTTTCCTTTTATCTTTTCTTTCCCTTTCCCTTCTCTCTCTCTCTCTCTCTTATTTATTTTGTTGGCAAGAGCCCTTCGCCCCCTTTCCCTCTTTTCTTATTCTTTTTCCACTTCTTTCTTTCCTTTTAGATTTTCTTTCCCTCTCCCTTCTCTCTCTCTCTCTCTCTCTCTCTCTCTCTCTCTCTATTTGGCGGGAGGGGGGGTGGGGAGGTAAGAATCTTTCACCCTTCTCCCTATCCATCTTTCCTTCTTCTTCTTCTTTCTTTCCTTTTATATTTTCTTTCCCTTTCCCTTCTCTCTCTCTCTCTTATTTATTTGTTGGCAGGGGGCAGGCAAGAGCCCTTCGCCCCCTTTCCCTCTTTTCTTATTCTTTTTCCTCTTCTTTCTTTCCTTTTAGATTTTCTTTCCCTCTCCCTTCTCTCTCTCTCTCTGTTATTTATTTTTTTGGCGGGAGGGGGTGGGGGGGAGGTAAAAACCTTTCGCCCTTCCTCCGTATCCATCTTTCCTTCTTCTTCTTTCTTTCCTTTTATATTTTCTTTCCTTTTCCCTTCTCTCTCTCTCTCTCTCTCTCTCTCCTAGTTATTTGTTGGCGGGGGGGGGGGGGGGAGGAGGCAAGAGCCCTTCGCCCCCGTTTCCCTCTTTTCTTTTTATTCTTTTTCCTCTTCTTTCTTTCCTTTTATCTTTTCTTTCCCTTTCCCTTCTCTCTCTCTCTCTCTCTTATTTATTTTATTGGCAAGAGCCCTTCGCCCCCTTTCCCTCTTTTCTTATTCTTTTTCCTCTTCTTTCTTTCCTTTTAGATTTTCTTTCCCTCTCCCTTCTCTCTCTCTCTCTCTCTCTCTCTTATTTGGCGGGAGGGGGGGGGGGGTGGGGAGGTAAGAATCTTTCACCCTTCTCCCTATCCATCTTTCCTTCTTCTTCTTCTTTCTTTCCTTTTATATTTTCTTTCCCTTTCCCTTCTCTCTCTCTCTTATTTATTTGTTGGCAGGGGGAGGCAAGAGCCCTTCGCCCCCTTTCCCTCTTTTCTTATTCTTTTTCCTCTTCTTTCTTTCCTTTTAGATTTTCTTTCCCTCTCCCTTCTCTCTCTCTCTGTGTTATTTATTTTTTTGGCGGGAGGGGGTGGGGGGGGGGGAGGTAAAAACCTTTCGCCCTTCCTCCGTATCCATCTTTCCTTCTTCTTCTTCTTTCTTTCCTTTTATATTTTCTTTCCTTTTCCCTTCTCTCTCTCTCTCTCTCTCTCTCTCTCTCTCCTAGTTATTTGTTGGCGGGGGGGGGGGGGGGGAGGAGGCAAGAGCCCTTCGCCCCCGTTTCCCTCTTTTCTTTTTATTCTTCTTCCTCTTCTTGCTTTCCTTTTTTATTCTCTTTCCATTTCCCTTTCCCTTCTCTCTCTCTCTCTCTCTCTCTCCCTTTCGCCCTTCCCCCGTTTCCCTCTTTCCTTTCCTTTCCTCTATCTCTCTCTCTCTCTCTCTACTATTTATTTGTTGGCGGGGGGAGGAGGCAAAAGCCCTTTGCCCCCGTGTCCCTCTTTTTTTCTTTTTCCTCTTCTTTCTTTCCTTTTATCTTCTCTTTCCCTTTCCCTTCTCTCTCTCTCTGATTTATTTTTTGGCGGGGGGGGGGGGGGGGGGCAAGAGTCCTTCGCCCCCCCACCTTTCCCTCTTCTCTTCTTATTCTTCTTTCTTTCCTTTTATCTTCCCTTTCCCTTTTTTCCTTCTCTCTGTCTCCCCCATCGACATAGTAATAACGAAAAAGACCACTCTGTAATCAAGACCATTCCATTTTCGATATACTTAAATTGGCAACTATTACCTTATGTCCCAGATCCTCATTTTAAACGACTGATGCGAAAGACTAGTCGACGCACCCTTTCGAGAAAAGCCCCCCCGCTTTCATCGAAAGGGTGTGTTAAAACGGTACTCCGCTCTCAACGCACCCTTTCGAGAAAAGGCCCCCCTCTTTTATCGAATAGGTGCGTTGAGCACACCACACCGCGCCGCACCGCACCGCACCCTTTCGATGAAAGCCTGTCATTACATGCCCATATGGCCTGCGCCTGAGCCGCCGGCTATGGCAATGCATGGCGATGCGATCACGGCTGGAACGACCCGGCAGCGCCGCCCCGCGACCGGTCATGAGCTTTTGCCCACGCTTTTGCCCAATCATGTCAAGGCAATTACCATAATCATCACACTTTCGTATATTTAATACTCACAAAAAAGTCGTAATTCAGTGACACTGGTCGCGTTTCGAATCTTCGACCTTTGACTTTGTCCGTTCTAGACCTACATGTACTAGTCTACGCGGTCTTTAATCTCTCCACCGAAACCACGTGGGCTGATAACGATGTCTGTCTAGCAGCTAGCTGCAGCTGCAGTTGTATACAATTACGTACACGTATTGCGCAATGGTATGAAAGTCAATGGTGTATTTTCTAAGGGGGGGGGGGGGGGCGTACGTGCCCCCTTACTTCCGATAAGTGCCCCTTTTCCTCTTTCCTTCAGTTGTAATAAGTGCCCCTTCTTATGTCTGAAAAGTGCTCCTTTTTGACACGTATAGGTATAGGCCCTCTAGGCTTGCAGTGTAATTGTTTATTATATACAGGCCTTTTCCGTTCCCCTATATGCCCCGATTGAAATCTGACAGGTGCCCCTAATTTACTTTGCAATAACTAATGTCCCTATTCTATTCTCATTAAAAAGTTCAACCGATCCTGGACATTTTTTGGGGGCACGTCCCCCCCGTGCCCCCCCCCATGGCTACGGCCTGCTGATAAGAGCCTCGATCCTAATTCACCTCTGATAATCCCCTATTCAAATCTGAGAGCTAGGTTTCTGTTTTAGGCTTTGACAGGTGTTTCCTATAGCCCCTCGATCCCCTTCTGATAAGTGTTCCTTTTCATCTCCGATGAGAGCGCCTTTCACCTATATGATAATTGCCCGGCCTTGTTACTTTTCACGTGTCCCCTTTTCCTTTCTAATATACCTGGTTTCTGAGTGTCCCTTTCCTATTTTTTTTATGAAGAGCCCTTAATACACCTTTTCATAAATGCCCTAGCTAAAATCTGATAGGTGCCCCTTTTCCTTCGGCAAATGCCCCTTTTCCATTCTTATCAGTGCTCTTTTAAATATGAGTACTCTTTTCGGGTGCGCTACTCTCACCTATGATAATCAGGCTACCTTTTTACTTTGATATGTAGGCTAGGCCTACTCCTTTCATTTTTTTGATAAGTGTCCCTTTCCACATTTCTCATAAGTGCCCGCTTTTCTTTTTCTCCAGAAAGTGCCCTTTCGTTTTTTGGTGCCCTTCCCCTCCACTTTGGAAGATTCTGGCGCCCCTAGTTAATAATAATTATTAGCTAGGGGCGCCAGAATCTTCAAAAGTGGGTGGTAACCATGTTTTTTTTTTTGTAAGGAGCTGCGCCTAAATGTTTGAACCAAATCTTAACCCAATGTGAAAATTGTTTTGATATGACTTTATATGATCAGGAACAGACCTCTTGAATGACCCTTTACAATTCTTTAGACTTACTGCATGGGCGTCATCAAATAGGTATTTCAGGTTTAGGTATGGACGTGTCATATTTTTTCTTTTCAAAATCATATATCAAAATTATTTTTTGGTACATGTTATTGTACAAGGATGGCGTTTGTTAATTTTTCACGAACGAACTCTCTATGCATAAAAGATCAAGACACGTGTGCATGATGTTCAGTATGATCATTGACCAATGAGTGACTGACATGATGATGCAGTGGCCAAACTGTATAGGCACTGTGTCGATCTATTTTCGTATTTCATGTTTGTTATTATCATGATCTATTGTTGACATATTTTTGCCTCCAAGAAATAAGACGCCGCATATAGGCCTATATCGCAAGTCCTATATGGCATGCGACAAATTAAAAAAAAAAGTGTGATACGGATTTAATTAAGAATTTTCTCTTCATTTATACATAGGGCCTATGGGTCTTTGATTTGTATGGGACTATCGATTTCATTGAATGGTCTTTATAAACCTATTCAATTATTTTATAAATCCTTTCACTACCTTTTGAAAACAGAAATTCATTTCAATTCAAGTTCATTTCCACAACCTGATAAAAATACAAAACAATCAAAAGACAAACAAGAATACACCATAAATATAACATAACAGATAATGGTGGGATCGACAATAGGCCTACAGGCCATGGTCAATCCCTTGAGTATACATGAAAGTCAAATTTAACAAAAACATAAATTAAGTAACTAACAAATAAACAATACAACAACAGCAACTACACTAACAAAACAAAATGGATGGGTAAAGGGAATGGGAGAGGAAGGCAGAAGACAACTTAACATGAATTTAAAAGATGATATTAGCAAACTGGATTCTAAAAGTGCACACTTGAGCTGAACCCAAAATGGGCAAACCATTAACCCTTGTAATTTGAATGAATAAAGCAGAACAATCTAAGAAAAATAATCCCACATAATAGTGAAAGTTTGAAATAAATCGATCGGACAAAGGCTATAAGCAGGGAGGTGAGACTTTAAATGCCTGCTATAAGCAATCCTAACGATTTGGCATTTCCCCCTTTCTTTTTAGATACTTTTATATTTTCTTCATTTCGTTTTGGTTTGTTTCAAGGAAGCTGAGTGAGACAAACTCGATCTTTGAAGGCATGAACTCTGATGAGCAACAAGAACAAACAGCTAGCTAGCTTAGCGCTCCCTTTTGTTTCATTCACGAACCGTGGTGTGTTATGTAATTGCGAAGAAAGAAAAGAGATAATCCCAGCGATTCATCATCATTTATGTCGACGTGGAAATTCAGTGATATTCGGTTGTTACTTGCGTCAATGCGTGCAATATATGGTTGAAAATGGTAAGTTATGCAGATAAGAATTGCAAAATGATATAATTTTTCATTATTTCGATGTTATACTACATTTAACATTGTTTTGTACTTTGTGCGCTTTGGAATGTGTAGTCCCATATGTTGATACGGGTGTAGCAAACTTGTGTATGCTACATGAATATGGGTGAATTCTGCTCCTAAAGTTCTGACTCACTCACTCACAGGAGTGAGTGAGTCTGTCTTACTCTTTGATCATGTTAGTCTTACTTATTGATAGTTACTTACTTATGGATTCTCCTGAACTAATACAGGCTCAAACCTCTTTATTCAGTTCAGAATTCTTTCTTTGTGTTAATGTTAGATCTAGGTCTATCTCTCTTGTCTTTATTTGGTCCCTCCGCTTTTCGCAGATCAGCAAGTTTTGGGGGCTCTTATGATGACTTTCGGGGGCTCTTTTTGGCATTTCGGGGGCAAATTTGCTTCGAGCCCCCATGATTAGACATATGAATTCATACATGAGGACTGCATACTTGTATAATGGTAGTCTGACAGTAACATCATTACACTTACAGGAAGGGTGCTATTTTTGGAATATCACAAATAATACCATGCATGCATTGTGATCTCTTCTTTATATTTTAAAGGCAAGTCTTGATGATACAGAAGATGTGGCTCTAGATTTTGGCACAGAGGATGAGTGGAAGAAACAAAAAGCACTGAGGTATGTGAAAAATAACACTCAAATATTGTGTTTACTATTCAATTTGTCATGTTTGCAAAAATGTTGATACATGTAGGTGATGAAAAAAGTGTGAAAACTACAGTTGATGAATGTTCTCGAAATGACCTAAACATGCATTATTATAGTAATGAATAGTAATTATGATGATAATGATGGTTGTGATAATATTATTAATGATAATGATAATAATAAATAATAATAATAATAATAATAATAGATAAATAAATAAAAGTTATGATTATGATAAAGATAATAATAATATGAATTATAATGCATGAGACGTAATACACAACCAAAACTAAATGAAAGGACCTTTCCCCCTCCCAACATTTCTGCAGATATCCCATGGCAGCTGTTGCTCACCTATTCTTCAGAGTGAGTGCCCTCCTGGCCTACCTCTTCTGTAATCTCTTCAGCAGTAGTTTCATCCTAGACTTTGTGGTGACGGTGTTTCTCCTGGCGGTGGATTTCTGGGTGGTGAAGAACGTGACGGGCCGTCTGCTGGTGGGACTGAGATGGTGGAATCATGTGGATGAAGACGGGACAAGTCATTGGGTGTTTGAGGCAAGAAAGGTAAGAGAAACTCTCAATCTGTCTGTCTCTCCCTCTTATTGGACACCTCGGTAGAACAGCTGTGTTGCACTGGCACTGCTGAGCAGGGCGATCCATCCAACGTTATTTTCTCATGATATCATGTATGTTGTTATTTATATGTTATCATACTTGGTAAATCAAATCAAATCAAACCAAAATCTCCCTTCTGTTTCAAATAGTTCTCTACTTCCTTTCCCCTCTCCTCCCTCCCTCCCTCCCTTCTAACTCCCCTTTTCTAGTTCTACCATTATCAATGTCTTTCTCTCTCTCAATACCCTCCCCCTTGCTCTCTCAGTTCTTCTTTCCTGTTCTCTCTCATTTCTTCTTTCCCCTTCTCTCTCAGCTCTTCTTTCTCCTTCTCTATCTCTGTCAGGACCTCAATTCTTTTAAAATTGGCCGTGTCAGCTGAAAGTAAATTATCAGACCCCTGAGGCTGTATGATCTAAAATTAGCCTTAGTAAATCAAGTTAAATTTAGAGTTGCTGCCATATTTACAGGCCTTAAATTAATCGACGGCCATCGACGGCCAGGCCGTCGATGCCCCTATGACTGGCCGTGGTGCCCTCCCCAAAAAAGATAAATTCACGGCCAAAAAGACCGTGCCCTTTTTTTCCAACTGGCCGACGTGCCTTTTTTTCCAACTGGACATGCTCCTTTTTTAAAATTTGCGTTCATAAAACCACCAATTGCGCCCATAATCATCGAAGACTAGACGGCAAGGCGCAAGTGTTTACCGTGAAAATGCGCCCATAAATTATTAGAACAGTAAAGATACACGAATCACGAACAGTTTGCTGCGCCCACGAGCTCTAATCTCCGTGTAAAATTGTATACACAAAAAATCGGTCGTAAAAAAAAATCGAACCATATTCCATACCTTACCTGGCTTACCATGTCGCACGCAAGTATGCCAAAACACATTTTCGCAGTTGCGAGATCGAGTAGGGGTCGAGTTTTTCGCGGTCGATTTTATTTTGGTGGATCATATTAGTTGAACCTAGCTAGACCACTAATTGCGAAACTGAAATCAATTTCCATCATGATTGCCGCAATTTTATAAAGTTTCCATGAATAGAGGTATGAAATTAAAGCCTATTTTGTGATTATTTTCCAACATCTCCATGTTTACGTAATTTTGACAATCATTTCTTCAAAGTAAAGAAAATCAGACAAAATCACCATGACTGACGCTGCGCTGCAGTTAACTCCAGGAGGCTCCAACACCGGGACTGCAGGCGGACGCCTGCCGCGCCGGTGTTGGAGCTTCCTGGAGTTACACTGGGCGCTGTGCAGTGAGTGACTTGAGCTGAGCTGAGCTCGAGTCAAAGAGTTTTGACACTTTGAAATTGCTATCTGTTGGTTTGCATCATTATTGCCGCGATTTAAATATAGTTTTATGAATAGATGTACGAAACCTGAGCTTAGAATTAGTAAAAGTATTACTAATATCTCAAGTTTTTAAACGACTGTCTGATTTTATTGTGAAAATTTTACTTTGAAAAATGATTATCGAAATTCATGGCCAGGAATAATCACAATCTAGGGTCTATTATGTCACAGTTCCTGCATCAAATCAATGCATGAAAACTTAGTTATTGAACTAGAAAAAGGGGTTTCTTTTTTGATAGGCAATTATGAAGCAGGAAGCCTGAAACCTTAGCCTACTCAACAAATCTCAACAAACTGTAGACCCCTAGGCCTATCCTTTTATGAATTAATGAAAAAGTAGCCCCAGAATAAAGAGCCCCAGAAATGGAAAAAAAGCCCCCGAAAGTTGAAAAAGTAGCCCCCGAAAGTTTCCCAAAAATTTGAAATGGAGCCCCCGAAATGGAGAACTTAATATTTTCTCTGGGTTGGTTATACAACAATTAAATAGATAATTTCTTCAAATTTGCTCCTACTACCAGCTACCGAGAGTGCGGCGGAAGGTTTGTGTGTGAGGTGCGATTTCTATTTGGGATACCCGGTAAACTTGCCAAGTCCTTCTGACTTTCGATGTTTGTGAAATTTACAATTTATTTATTCATTTGCTCATCAATATTTTTAGTTACTTTAAAATGTGCAAGTTTGATGTTCTTAATCAATCTTTCGTGTTGATATTGTTCAGATTAAAAAGTTATTAAATTGATCGTTCTATTCACATTATAAAATTAACATTGTATCTTTGAACTTATAATTAGATTAGGGGCCTAGTCTGTCTGTTCTTGGAAAATTGCCCCTGGTTCTTAGGGAATTGCCCCTTGCTCTGGTAAATTCCTGTGGGCAAGGGGCAACTTTAGAAAAAAAAAATTGCCCCTTGCTCCTGGCTGCTTAATCTAAGGCTTGCGGGGGCCGCCGCCATTGTTTGTATGTACCGTAGACCTCTATACATTCTGTAAAGAAGCTGGTGCTAAAAGTCATGGGAAATTGATCCCGCACAAGTTTCATTATAAAATACACATGACATCTAACAAAAATAGAATCAATTTTTTTTGGCCTTGATGCCCTTTTTGTAAAAATATTTTGGCCTTGGTGCCCTTTGTAGTGGCCTTGGTGCATTTAAAAATATGAGGTACTTTAAGGCCAAACTGGCCTTGCCCTAAAAATGACGAAATTTAAGGCCTGTATTTAGTTTGTATTGTTCTTTTGAATTTTTTGAAGGATGGTTGAATTATAATTATCAATTATTATCATTTTGTTTGTTTATAATGAACCTTGTACATCTTTCATTAGAAATAAATCCCTCTGGGGTTGGTTTCATATTTAAAAGAGTTGTATTATGACCATAGGGTGACAGGAGTTTTAAATAAGAAGATAAATGTTATTTTGATATGATTATATCTTGTTTCCTTACAGGGTTCAAGGAAAAGTGAAGAATCAGGGTTAGAATCCAAAATATTTTGGTTTGGTCTGGTCGTGTGTCCTATCTTCTGGGTGGTTTTCGTCTTTACAAATATTTTTGGTCTCAAAATTAATTGGCTGGTAAGTAAATGCATTGTACACTACATATCTTAATGTCTATTTAAACTATGTACCCTCATTTTTAACAATGCATAAATATCACATAGCATTAGAGTTAATCTTGTAGTGATAAATAACAAAACATCTCTAATGGAAGATTAAACTTTCCTATATTCTCTATGAATATTACAGGTAGATCTTAATTGAAACATATGCATACCAACTTTTGTACATTGTGTTGTTAAGACTGAATAAGCATATATGTTATTAACAAGGGTATTTATTAGGTGTTTATCTTCTTTAATGCTTGAGGCCAACAATGAAAAGTAAATAAACAATGTATATTAATCATAATGTGACGAGGTAATTAATCAAAATGAATCTTCAAATCTGAATATTTGTTGCCAAATGAGACTTCCAACATTCAAGTTATCATTTTTATCAGCCCTGAACAAATATAGCAATTTTGACAGCAATGACGGAGTAAAGAAATAATTTGCACCTGTTTTTTAATTGTTTGTTTTAACTGATAAGATCATAACAACAGTTGGCGTTATTCTCAACGGAGCAAATCTGTACGGCTACGTCCGCTGCAAAATAACCTCACGGAAAGAGTTATCATCGATGGCTACCCAATTCCTTGGTCAACAGATGCTTAAATCGGTAAGCTTCTAGTCAAGACTAGAAATAATGTTTGTTAAAAATCAGAATATTTCATTATGTTATTCATCACTTTTGAGGGCTCTTAGCGATTTTAAAGGGATCTCATCATCTGTCATTCTTGATATAATTTCATGTTCAAGCAAAAACTTTTGTTGACAGCATACCTCCAATAATTATTTGAAAGGAATAGAGACGGATACATATAACAGTCATAGCTCAACAAATATGATGACACTTGTGTAAATTTTGATTATTGGTTTCTAGATTTCTTGCACATTTCTTGATGACTGTTAGGTGGCATTCCACTTGGCTAATGTGTGTTAAATTTCTTCAGAAAACTGAAGGTTTTAGGTGTATGGGTATCCCTTTTAGCATTTCAAAATGCTCTATAATTGAAAAGGAATAAAAAAAAAAAGAAAAAAAAAGAGCCTATCCATCATTATTCAAATGAATTTAAAGTTAGATGATAATCCATCAGCCTTACCAATACAGGATTTCCAATTTAATAGAAGAGAAATTGTCCAGTTATAAACACATCCTGTATATTGTACCCATATGCTATTAGATGTATATTTAATGATAAACGTTCCATTTCTCCCCTCCCGCCCATACAGGCTATGTCGGCAACAACTCGGCCGCAGACAACACAATAGGTACTAGATTCGTTCCAATGGGAGGATGCATGAAAGAGAGAAGTATTTATCTCAAGTCTTCGTTCTTGATTCCACATTTCTAACTAAGGCTTATTTATTTGAAAATAGATGTAATTTGGACATAAAATTTGATGTATATGGTGTGACTTTGTATGGAATTGTCATTTTGTACTGCATTGTTATGTGATTGAATAGCTGTTGATCCGCTTGATAATCGCATGTATCATTTCATTTCCTTTTTAGCAGGTGCTGGGATATTTAGTTTTAAAAAAAATTGACACAAGTAATGAATTCTGCCAAATTTTCCACATGGAATATACAAAAATTGTAATTCTTTCTTTTCTATGTGAATTTTTGTACAAAATAATGTTGTCCTCCTGAATGTTCAAGGGAGTTATATAATGTGGACTAAAGAAAACCTTGCTCGACAGTTACAGAGTATATTTATGAATTTTCTATATTTGGAAATGTATTTCAGAGAATACAGTTACGTATGATATGAAAATTATACAAAAATATGTAATTGTAAAATTCACTCAAGATGAGTATTAAATCAGCTTCAGTCCATAAGTTCTAGCTTGAGTTAAATTTTGGTAAGAACATTGTTGCATTTAAAGATAAACTATAGTACTGGTAATGCGATTGCATTGTGAAAGAAAAGGTGTGGAAAGGATCAGAAACAGTTGATCATGTAGCATGTAAGTATTGGTGTGCACTGCAAGGTTCTGGAGTCATCAAAATCATAATAAATTTGACCGAGTCTTGGTAAAGTAACAAGCACTGTACACAGAAAGCTATACATGGGACAACACACATGGTGTCGGGGCTAGTACTACCTTGATTTCCTTGTCTTTCTATGCTCATTACTCAGCCAGTATATATTTTCTTCCAAAATTGTTTGGCACATGTCATTTATATGTAATCTTGAACATTCAGTGTAAGTTTCGTTTGATTCTGTGAGAATTAATTTTCTTTTTTTTACCAGAACTGGAGTTTATCTTTAAGGAGTTTATGTTTATCTCCAAAATAGAAGTTAGTTTGAAAAGTTGTGAAATTGAGCTTTTGTAAAGTAGAGTTTGCACTAGTTAGCTCCTTATTTCAAATATTTGAGGGAATCAGCATTTTTATTCTAATTTGTCACCAAGTGTGGACTGTGGAGGGTATTGAAAGTATGTGCAATCCAATGTTGTATTTTATATTTTGTATGCGTCACTGTTACATGACCCCATATACAGTGAAGTCTTAAATGCAAAGATCACTAAAGTAAAGGGCGATGGGAAAGGTGATCTTATTGATATACAGGTTTTCTTTCTGCACTGGTTCTATTTTTTTTCTGAAGCACGTTTCGTATGAGAAACACCGTTTATCTAACCACTTCTTCTAAACTTGAAAGTTTAAAACAGGACTACCCTTTAAACTCAAGGATCCATGCTTGTGATTATTCATATTGTAATTAATCTAAATTAATCTTAAGCTGATTTAAAATAGTTTCTAAAATCGTATGCTTTTCATCTTACTCTAGTTCTGTATTTACATTGTGAGAACATCTTGTCACCAAATGCCAGTGTTCATTAATCAAAATTTGAATTTGACCTTGAAGGTTATTGAATTTTGTTCATTTAATTACTTTTGATAGTTTTAACACCCGTCGATGCTTTACTTCATAAAATTTTGGCATGAGTAGAAGTATTCATACTGTGCTTGGATAACATTTAGTTGTGGTCATTTGTTTGCTGTTGAGCTGCCATGTGATTTTACATGCAATTTATTGTAAAGTGTTTACAGTACAAGTACAACTGATTACTTTGATTTCAACAGTAATATATAAATTATTATGTGAAAAAAAGATTAAAAGAAAATTTGCTGCAAAATCTTTTGGGCTGTGTAAGTATGCGAGAAATAATATACTTGATTGTCTGTTGAATATGTTTCAAGTTGAATATTTTTTGAATTTTTCTCTGATAATGGCGTTCTTCAGTAAATTTATATGGACCTAAAAGCTCCAAAAGAGAGTCAAAAGAGCAGATGGCCATTGATGCTACATTTCACACAATAGTTTATTATTCCTTTATTATACAGGTATTTTTGTTTTATAAATGGCGCTGATATATCACTATATCCAGAAGAAGAATGATTTAGGGGAGAAGAGAGAATTTACATTTGTATGAATTCACACAACCTAAGTTGAATGAATAGCACTGGTATATTATTATATCCAGAAGAAGAATTGATTTAGGGGAGAAGAGATAATTTACATTTGTATGAATTCTCACAACCTAAGAATATTGGTGTGTTTGAGGGAAAATTAAACACCTTATCAAAACCTTTTTAACATGCTGTTCATGTACATAATCAATTTTACTGGCGAGTACAAGCATACTTTACTTTGTTGATAACTGTTATTTAGGATTTTTGAAATTCAGACGAATTGTAGAGCCATTTTCAATTTTTTTATTCTAAAAAGAAGATGGAATTAAATTATAAAACTAACTCTTTCTGCAGTAATATCCACAGCAAATAATAGAATATACACAAAATGAAAAATAAATTAGTACCAAAGTGAAAAGAGCTTCATATTTTCCATTACAGTTATTTTTTGTCTATTGACATTGTCTCATATGTTTTTAATTGAAATGTGCAGTATGTAATCAATCAACCATTCCTGTTTTACCGTTGCATTGGTATGTATGCTATATATTTTACGAGAATAAAGCGTTTAACTTATGAAACCATCTACTCGTTGGAGATGCAATTTCTTGTCTCTCTGTCCAGAATAGAATCATAACAAACAGTGATAAACATAAGAGCCCAAATTCACAATGGAGGTTTGTCGACAAGCCTAGGTTTATGTGCATCATATGACGCATTTTGGACCAAGGCTCAGACAAACCTTGGTCTGAAACGCATCAAAATGCATCGTATGAACTTATAAGTTTTACAACTCCTATACTAGTGTAAGTAGCTCATATGGTACACAAACAGAGCAATGATTAGTATACATAAATATTTCTTTATTTAATGTTCACAACAAGAACAAGTTTTGAAGTTAAACTCCTTCAGTTCATTCATGTTATATTTTTACATACTAATCTTTGATTCGATTGGATGGAGAAAAAAAAAGATCCATACCAAAGCATCCTAATTGCTGACCTAGTTTTCACCTCGTGTAAAATATGCAAATAAAAAATGATCTCATGGTGATTAGTAGTATGTACTGATCTTTAATACAGATACAGAGGGCAACATTTTCCCAGCACTTTATAGGTTACAAGGGAGGGGGTAAAATGGAAGGGAGAACAGAAAATAAAGATGCAAACAAAACAAAAAGTTAAGAGAGAAAGAAGAAGATACTTGGGAGACAGAGGAAGAGAATGGAATGGAAAAAACACACTGACAGTTTATTAAAAATGATAGCAGGCCTGTCTGTTAGTTTAAAAAAAAAAAATGTTTGCAAGGTGAATTGGTTACACTAATTGTGAATCTCTCCTTATAATTGTTCTCTACACATAGTACCTTAGTTTAAAATAAATATTCCAATAATAGACTCTGAACAGATGATAACTGTAATACTTTGAATGAGCAAATAAATGTGGACAATTTAGTTACACTTGTACTGTTTATACACATTGTTGGAGAAGCCTAATGGGAACTTAAAACTTACTTAGTCTGGCCAACAGGAATTGTTGATTCCACAGACGTTACAAAACATTTTCTAAAATTGCAAAGAAACTTGATTTTGAGTGGAGTATCGTTCATTCTCCTGAAAATGATCAGAGCATACTAATAAAAATGCTGGGAACTATGAGATCATCATAGCGGAGCTCACAGCCCATACCAGGGCCCTTACCTTCGAAAGAATTAAATGGTGTAACCCTCAAAAGCTTACCGATGATTTGTCATTAGCTAGAATCCCCTGCAATTTCAATATATCACTAAATCTGTCTTGTATGTAAATCGATTTTGGAGAAGGCGAGAAGGATAGGCCCATGAATAGTGAGCAAAATTCCTCAAGATAACGCAAATTTATTTCACATTCTAAAGCAGTCATTGAAAGCCAGTACACTAATATGATCATCTGGAAAAATCACAAAATCGCCTCTCAGCAGAGGGTTCCTTTGATTAATATTCATGATGATGTTGAATATTCACGACGTAATCACTTGATTCAATATCATAGTCCACAGTCATAGTCCATTGTATTAAATTTCCCATGGAGAATTTCACATATGTGTAGTTCGTTCTTCCCTCCATCATGTACAATCCATTATCGTCTCTTCCTTTTGACAGTATGACTTCACTCCTGAAAAGAAGACAGGAAATTGTTTTGTTTGTTTGTTTCTTAATCTTTTACAGCTCATGCAATTAATTACTGTGGTCAACTTTCTCTACAGAATATATACTCGGTGATCTGGTGGTCTAGAAATTTGGTTCCCAAATGAACTAAACAATTAAGACAGAAAGTACTTTGGATCGAAGCACATATCATACACATTATCCATGAATGTACTTCACAAAAGATCATTACATTACTACTTAATGTTACAACAGCATCAGTCAAATTAATATTTTAGTGTCATACGTATTCCGTAATACACCAACCATGTCCCTTTATCTATGAATTAAAGAAATAATTATCAAAAAATGACAGTAATAAATGAAGACTTTCATCCGTTTTGAATCTAAAAAGGGAAAGGCACTACTGCAGAATTTAAATGAAAAAACTTGGCTCAAAATAATAATAGAGTATTGGTCTCTATAGTCTATACTTAAAAAAAGTAAAGGGATAATGGTTGTATCATTTTTAAATGATTCTGAAAATTGACAACTTGAGCATTTTGCTCTTTGCCTTGATTAGTGCACAAAATTGAAGGAAAAGGACTAGAAAACTCAAGTGCAAATACACATTACTAGCTTCAACAGGTAGTTTACTTACTTTCAATTATCTCCAGATAGGCTTGAGTGGCAGGTGAATCTGGTACCTCATCAAAAAATGAATTTCCTTCATCACAGCATTTTCCTGCGGTAAGCAATAGTAGTACACCGTATAAGGTATTTGTTCACTTTCTAACATGTACATTGTATATATGGGATTCTAGAACAAGTAACCCCTATGTTAACGTACCCCCACTACACCAATTCTCACAGACAGCCCCCCCCCCCCCCTGCACCCTCTGCATGCCCATCCTGACAAATATCCCCGATATCTATCCTACAAAGTATAACCAAATTAAGAAAATTTGAAGCAAACAAGGACACATAAATAACAACCCAGATAACAGGGTTGGCAATAACATTTTGCTTTATTTTTCTTTATCTATTTATTTCAAATACAAACAGATAGATAACAATAGTAATAATAATGTACACACAGTCAAAGAAATTGTAGAGTCTGTTACATAAATATATAAAAAACAAGGTGCTACTATCAAATTACATGTATTACACATTATCAAAAAAATTAGTTTAAGCTCATGAGTAAAATATTAACATCAGAATTAATAAGGGTATGTATGTATGTCTGTCTATAAATTGAGCAGTTAATAATGAAATTAATAATAATAATGGATAAAAAAGAAAGAAACACAGGTCACAAACATTACATCAATTCAGAATCGAGTTGTGAGTGACGATACGATTCTGTACCATCTGCACATAATGTTGCAGTGCATTGTCTGTTGAGAGACAGAAGGGCGTTTACTCATATTCAGACAATGTATGTAGTGGTGGTTATTTTACCTGACTGCTAAGAAAGCATAAATGCTTGTTAGTAAGCAACCAGAGGACCGACGGCTTTAGGTCCTTTCTGAGAGACCTGGTAATGAGGATTAATGCCTTGTCAAGGACACTAGTACATCGCCTTGGTTTCGAACCCGGGTTGCCGGATTACGAAACCACTGCTCTACCAACTGAGCTATCATGCCTCATATTCATTACATAGACCCAACTCTTTGAAGCTTGACTTGTATGTACTTCACATTCTAACGCATCGTGATATCAGAGAGATAATAAAGGCTACTGCTTACCTATTCTTGGATCCAGAGGTAGTTTCCCAAGGAATGGAATTTTGAGATCCTCACACATCTTCGAAGCTCCTCCGGTTGTAGGAGGAAATATTTGGGATTCATTCTAAGAACAAAATAGAAAATAAAAATGAAATAGCGATAGACTTCCACTTGCAATGAGGAATAAATCACAGAAGAACATATTGTTTTCTTATTACAATTTAATAACAAGAACTGGAGCAATTTGCATACTTAAAGTGAATACAATATTACTGTTAATATGTCTGATATCAAGTTCACGAGTTTTATGTGTAATATAGGTCAAAACACAAAACCCTTTATAATATTGTTTGAGAGAGAAATGGAATTTTAATACACAAGTGGTCTTTATGTACACGTTACTTTAACCCACTGACTAACTGATTTTCTTGTTCCAAATAAGCTTAATACATGAACCATCCTCTTCCCATAGACAGGGGATTAATACAGGTTTTCTTTCTATACAGGTGACTGTCAAAGCCTCTATGCGATAAATTCATGATTGCGAAAACAATAATAAGTTTTGCATCACCGGCATGTCCCTACATTTTGCAGAGTATCTCACTATCTAACATAAACTAAAGTTTAAAGTCAAATTTTATAGCGCTTATTACTACATTTTTAAGTGCTTTACATTATTATTATCATTACCATGATCATCAGATTCAATTGCTAATCACATTATGGCGCCATTTTACAAGCGCTGACATGTAGATCCAAACACAATAACGTTCAGATCCTACTGGGTACCCATTTAAGACCTTGATGAAGAGTGGCAAAGGTAGATTAATGTCTTGCTAAAGGACATTAGTGCTGTGGCGGGACTTGAACCATGAACCACACGATCCACAGTCCGGTGACATATCAGCTAGACCACGACACCTCTACATGTTGCTCACCTTGCAATTTGGGCAGACAAAGCCACTCATATTCTCCACCACTCCAATGATAGGCACCTGAACTTTGCGACAGAAACTGATCTCTTTCCTCACATCCATCAATGAGACTTCCTGCAGTAAAGAGTAAGGTAGAGGTGCAAAATGTGATTAATAGGATCGGATCATATCCGTGGGGATTAAAAAACTAAGCAATGTATGTGTTTAGAAGGATAGATAAATCAAATGAATGAAGGAATGAAGTAATAAATGAATGGATGAATTAATGAATGAAGTAATAAATGAATGGATGAATTAATTAATTAATTAATTAATATATGAATGAATGAATATAAAAATAAATAGATAAGTAAATAAATAAAAAAAATAAAAAAATGAATGAATGACTGAATGAATGAATAAATAAATAAATTAATAACAAATTAATACAATTCCTTGCAAGTAGCCGATTGCTTGCTTGCTCCACAGTAAACATTGCACTGCCAACTAGACGAGGTGTAGAACATGCACTAACCTGGGGTGTGGTGATAATGACAGCTCCGTCCACCCCGGCTCCCTTCAAGTACTGGACGATAGAAAGATGCTCATCCGATGTACCGGGAGGCGTGTCTACCACCAAGTAATCAATATCACCCCAGTCTACATCTCGTAAGAATTGCTTGATCAAACCTGACAAAAAAAAAGATGATGTGAAAAATTTGCGCACACTGCCAAACAAATAATATGGACATGTGTAGAAACATGAACTGAGTCATATCCCCCCCCAAAAAAAACAACAAAAACACAAGTAATTTTTTTAAATGTCACTTTTAGATTCTATATGGCAGAGTAGGTTTGTGCCAAAAATGAGCAAGGTTGATTCATATATTAAGATACATGCTTGTAAAAAAAATTATGAATTCAATGATAGACACCTCTACCATTTTGCATCATTTCTAAGTGAACTAAACCTATATTTCGACTCCGAAGAAAATGAAAAGGTACCTCTATCCCAAGATAAACAAGACACCAAATTGTTATGAAATATATGGACAGCAGGCCTTAAATTTCAATATTTTTAGGGCAAGGCCACTTTTCTGTAGGGCACATTCTTATATTACAGCACAAATAGGAAGAATTGGAAGGGCACAACAAATCCAAGGCCAATGAGAGGGGCATTGAGGCCAATCAAAAGGGCATCCACGGCCATGGCCTTAATGGCCTTGGTGGCCTTGGATTCATTTAAGCCCTGGGACAGACTTAAAGAATTTGTGTGCAACTACAAAAAGCAATCAATATCTTATTCCGAATAAGAAATAGAAATCTGATGTTTACCATTTTTCTTGGGTCCCCTCCAAATCACTGCATCATTGGGACTGTTCAGCAAGAAACCAACAGACATCACACCAAGATTGTCATCTACATACTGCACAAAAGTAAATAACAGGAAGCAATGACTGGTCAATGTTGTTGTTATTTCAGATCTTTGGCATTCAATTTGGTTCTGAATGTGGATGCCATCTAGATGTAGGGTATAATACTAATACTAAAGTTGGCCCAGTCTTGGTAAAGTTACAAGCACTGTACACAGAAAGATGTATATGGGCCTACCCTATATCTATCCAGTCCGAGTAGATATAATTAACCAAATATATCAATTAGTAGGCGGATTCCCAGCAAAATTTGTATCATCTCGTATTAGTCAAAACGTATTCTTTCACATGATTGGTAATAAGAGGTTCCATTTCATTTTTTGAGAGGGGGGCGTTTCCAAAACTGGTCTTTACCTTTAACCTTACTTTTGGTAGATGGTACTATGGTGACTATGGTCAATGTTCATAAGAATGAAATTTAAACCTGACTCAATATAGTCCACTTAATATCTGTGAGTACCAAGAATTAACCTCGTTATTTCAAACAAAGTACTGTAATTCTGTTTAAAGCACGCTTTTGTAAGGTAAAGAGTAATCAAAATCTACTGCCACTTCATCAACTGAAACTATTCTTTCTCTGGTAAAGCAGGTTTGGCTGTACTCCTACAACATGCACTTCCATCAAATCAACTTTAACTTTACTTCTGGTACATAAACAGAGACTGGACTCAAATCTTGATGTTAGTCATACATGCCTTGTACATAAGACTTACCACTGGGGACCATCCTGAACCACTCTGATGCACCTGTTCGTTATTCAATCCCATGATTCTAGGGATAGAAGGACCGCAGATATCAATATCTAACACTGCAACCTGCAAAGAAAGAGGATGGAAAGTAATCAATTTAGATGAAATATCTTTCCCTACAGAAGAAATGGCAATAGCCTCTGAATAGGTTCAGTTTGTTATTTTCTTAATGCAACTATTTTTTTATTTTGTCCTTTTCTTTTTTTTTGGCGAGTTTGGAATAATATTTGTGAATCCTTCATGTATCATCATATTTGAACATTTTTTCAGCCTTGTATAAAGGCAGCTTCTAGGTGAAAGCTGGTTTATATCATGATTATATGAATACAATACAATGCAATACATTTAATTGACATGACTGAAGTCATAATTAAAAGTCAAATTCATTATATCACAAACCCTTTTCTAAGTAGCGTACATACGATTACAATTTTGGCTACCGTATTAGTTGTGTCTGCCATAACTGGGGAAAATCTGAACAAAACATACATGTATTATATTATCTGCTATAGCTATGGTCTGACACATTGCATTACCTATATCACTTGTTATGCCTCAGGGGGCCCCCATTTCAGTCATGTGTCAAATTTATGTGCAAAAGTGTTTAAAAAAATGAATTGGTATATAATCTGCCTCAGTACCTGTGTGTTTTCATCTCTTGCCATCCCTCTAGCCAGGTGAGAGGTGAACGTACTTTTGCCCACTCCACCTTTTCCAGACAGGACCAGCAGTTTATGTTTCACAGAAGACATTCTCTCCTTGATCTCAGCAACAGCTGTGGAGTTGAAGAAGAAGATGAAGAAGAAGAAGAAGAAGAAGAAGGGGGAGGAGGAGGAGGAGGAGGAGGAGGAGGAGGAGGAGGAGGAGGAGGAGGAGGAGGAGGAGGAGGAGGAGAAGGAGAAGAAGAAGAAGAAGAAGAGGAGGAGGAGGAGGAGGAGGAGGAGGAGGAGGAGGAGAAGAAGAAGGATGAGGATGAGGAGGAGGAGGAGAAGAAGAAGGATGAGGATGAGGAGGAGGAGGAGGAAGAGGAGGAGGAGGAGGAGAAGAAGAAGAAGAAGAAGAAGAAGAAGAAGAACGGGAAGAAGGAGGAGGAGGAGGAGGAGGAGAAGAAGAAGAAGAAGAAGAAGAAGAAGATGAAGAAGGAGGAGGAGGAGGAGGAGGAGGAGGAGGAGGAGGAGGAGAAAGGAGAAGAAGAAGAAGAAGAAGGAGGATGAGAAGGAGATAAATATAATTATTAATGTCTTTACAATTTTCTATCATAATGATTATACAATGCCCTTGGAGGGGTACCATACTCCTCATGCAAATCACATCCAAAATGTACAAAAGTACAACAACAACAAAAAATATATAAATTCATCTCTTCATACTAATGATTTGGCTTGATTCTTTCATAAGATTAAATGCAAATTGAATCACCTTCCTTTTAAGAATCTTTAAAATTCCAAAATGTTATTGGAAGCAAATTAAATGGATGGTGAAAAGGTGTGGTATTCCTAAAGAGGTAATCATTGAGATAGCTCAGATGAGTTGGTGACATCTATGTGAAAGTGTGGACATTTCATTTCATCGGCAGCCTGCAAGAGGGCTGTTGCTGCCATTGCCAGTACGCACCGCTTACGGCCTTACAGCCTTCATGCGGGCAGCAGCAGCCGATATTATTTTGATTTGTGTCACTCACCTGGGTCGAGGGTTGGTTTCGCGCTGCTGCATACATCTTGATTGGGGCATCCTTGACAGGCTGATGCTTTACCAGCATCTTCACTCCCGGTACCAGGACAATCTACGTGAAAATAAGAATACAATAAACATACAAATCTTGAACTATTACAAAGAAGAGCTGAAACCGTGAGAATGTTAGATGACATAAACAGAAGTTATTTTATTTCTTCTTGCACTTTCAAGACCGGAGTCAAGAGAATTTCATTTGGTCGGTATTTGGTCATGTACTCATTTTAGTGTCCCATAGTTTCACAAATATCAAATATTTCTGCACAGAATTTGACATCAAAGGTGTGGTTTAACTTCATACATAGGTCTAGCGTTATCTAAGCTCATTCGGTGCCAACTTAATACAATGATCAGATGATTCCGATATACAGTGTACTAACATCTATTTGTGTAATTGGTATTGCATGGGACAAAATAGCTTAGGCTTGCCTATAGATCTAGATCTCATTCATTACTATTGGTTTTTATTGCAAGACTATTTTGTTTAGGTTTATCCATGAAACGATGATTATATTCTTATAGAATTATATAGCCTTCTATGTACAAAAAATGATCATGTGCCCCCCCCCCCCGATTAATCATTTAAATAGACCCAGATCTACACTATTTGTTTAGAGAATTAATTGAAGTTGGAAGTCCATAGATTGGAAACTGAACAGTTTTCCTCAGCTAACCTGAACAAAACATTATTAACAAAACATAACAAAAACAAAACATTGCAACGACAAAAAAGGTGAGGGGGGGGGGGCAAACAAAATGACAATTCAAAAACACATTAAAAAAATAAAAATAAATAGAAAAGTGAAAAATAAAGGCATTTACAAAAAAAAAATACAAGTTTCAGAACGCTGTTTGCATGGCCAACATATAAAACCTTCATGGAAAATCAAGACTACAGACTGGTATGATCAAATTCTAAGCTAAACCTGGAAAGTGGGAGTGGGACCACTCCAGCAAAGCATAGAGTCACTGCTAATGGCTGCGTATTGACGAGTTTACGAGTTTTTATTAGTGTATTAATTACATTACATCAAAATGAGCGTGTGGGCCCTCAACTAGCAAAAACTGACGAATCATGAATATGTCATCAATACAAACTTACGTTCTGGGGCATTTTCGGGAACTTCAGACATTTTCTCGTGAAGATGTAATGCGTAATATACGATAGACGTGTTTCCTTAGCTGATAAACACCACAGCTCGGACAAATTGATAATCAAAATCTGTGAAAACTTTATGAAATAAAAAAGTACAACAATCATCAATAGAGGGCGTGTGCAAGCTGCAGAGATTAGACGAGATAAAATTGTACACGGAACTGATTTCTGTGGACTCCATCTAGGTCTATACATTTAAAAATTGATAAGACGAACGTAATATACGACTCGACTACTCTCGATCTGAGAAAAAGTACTGTGACCTGTAGCAGGCGCGGAACCAGGGGGGGGGGGGGCCGAGCGGGCCTTGGCCCCCCCTCCCCCCGCAAAAAAAAAAAAAAAAAAAAAAGAGAGAAGAAAGGAAAAGAAGGGAGAAAGGGAAAAAGGAGAAAAAGGGAAAGAAAGAAGAGGAAGAAGAAAAGAAAAGGGGGAAGAAGGAGATCGGGGGGCCGAAAGGGCCTTGCCTCCCAGGCTGTTAACCCCCCCCCACCCCCCCAATCAAAAAAAAAAATTAGAGAGAAGGAAGGAAAGGGAAAGAAAAAGGGAAAAGAGGAGATACTGGCGTACTGATAGGGGGGGGGGGGGGGGGGGGGGGCTTGGGGGAAATCATATTCAAACGTGGTTTATTTCTAATTCCACAACGGTGGATTACAAATACTGCTGAAATGACATAATTTCCGAAATTTTTCCTCACTTTTTAGTAAATTATACGTTTGTATGTGTTTGTTGGAAAATGACAAATTCCTAAATTTACAACCAGGCAAAAAATATGATTCTTGAGATTCCTACATGTCAGGGCCCGAGGTACGGCGGGGATCGAGAGCCTCGAGCCGCCCCCCCCACTTTTCTTGAAAAAGTATTTTAAAGAGAAATGAAATAGAATGAGAGCAAGAAAGTAAGAATAGTTAACTGCCAGTGTTAACAAAATAATGAGGCATCAAAATATGCTCATCTGACCGTGATTAAATGCCTAAAACCCCTAAGCTTCCGGGGGCTTTGCCCCCTGGATTCCATTTAGGGCCCTACGGCGGACCCTTAGATGATCATCTGACGGTAATTTAATACCTAAAACCCCTGATTTTTTGGGGCTCCGCCCCCTGGACCCCACGCCAAATAGTGACTTGCCAGTGTCACAAAATAATAAGGAATACACAAAAATATGCTCATCTGACCTTAATTAAACGCCTAAAACCCCTGAGCTTCCGGGGCCGGCTCCGCCGCCTCGACCCCACCAGGGGCCCTAAGGCGGGCCCCTGAATGCTTATCTGACCGTAATTTATCGCCTTAAACCCCTGAGCTTGCGGGGTCGGACAAGGTATCAAGATGTGTTTATCTGACCGCAGGCGCGTAACCAGGGGGGGGGGGGGAGGTTGGGGGCGGTCCCCGCAATCGGAAGAGGACGTAGGAAGAAAAAGGAGCAGACAAAGAACATATTTGATATTCAGACAAGGATTAAGGGTATAGAGAACGGTACAACGCTTCGTTTTCTTTCTCTAATAATACTACGTCAAAGCCTCGCGCAGGAGGGGAGGTGGGGGGGGGGGGGGGGGACTGAATTCAGACGAGGATAAAGAGTCGAGGACGGCAAAACGAATTGTCTTCTTTCTTTAATAGTTTATTAAAACGTCAAAGCTTCCGCGCTTCGCGCAGGAGGGGGAGGGGGGGGGGGGGACTGAATTTAGACAAGGATTAAGAGTCGAGAACAGTACAACGAATGGTTTTCTTTCTCTAATGATTTAATGAAACGTAAAAGCTTCCGCGCTTCGCGCGGGAGGGGGGGGGGGGGAACTGAAATCAGACGAGGATAAAGGGTCGAGAACGGTACAACGAATCGTCTTCTTTCTTTAATAGTTTAATAAAACGTCAAAGCTTCCGCGCTTCGCGCAGGAGGGTGAGGGGGGGGGGGGGGGGACTGAATTTAGACAAGGATTAAGAGTCGAGAACTGTACAACGAATCGTTTTCTTTCTCTTATGATTTAATGAAACGTAAAAGCTTTCGCGCTTCGCGCGGGAGGGGGGGGGGGGAACTGAAATCAGACGAAGATAAAGGGTCGAGAACGTTACAACGAATCGTCTTCTTTCTTTAATAGTTTAATAAAACGTCAAAGCTTCCGCGCTTCGCGCAGGAGGGGGGAGGGGGGGGGGGGGACTGAATTTAGACAAGGATTAAGAGTCGAGAACTGTACAACGAATCGTCTTCTTTCTCTAATAATTTAATAAATCGTAAAATTTTCCGCGCTTTGCGCGGGAGGGGAAAAACTAAATTCACACGAGAATTATTTTCGAGAACGGTACAACGAATCGTTTTCTTTCTGTAATAATATAATGAAACGTCAAAGCCTGGGAGGGGGAAACTCGCCCCCCCGCATTACGTCACTGTTGGTCACCATAACGTACCAATATTTGGCTCGCATAATTTCAAATTTGGGCCCCCCCCCCTAAGAAATCCTGGATCCGCGCCTGACCAGTAGATCACAATTCGGTTTTTTGACCGGTACAATGGATATTTGTTAATTTCCACGAACATTTGATGAAGAACAAAAATAGGCTTTAATTAGCATCGCACTAGGTGTGACGTTAACCATTTTTTTTTTGGGGGGGGGGGGGGGAGGGGGGGGGGGTCTAATAAAAAAAATGAGAAGTGAAACAAATGCAACGAAGCACACTCCTTTATCACATTCTGACTACCCAGAAGAATGAGCTCATTACAAATGGCCTTTCCCGGTATCTCGTCCAGCTAGGAGAATGCATGATCTGAAATAATAATCTACTTAGTACGTCATGCACATGCATTAAAATGGCGGTTTTAAAAATTTGGCTTATATACATGTCGTACCTTAATTGCTTTTACAGAAATTTGCTAAAAATAACCCCAACCTATTGTCACTGTAAATATGGAAACAGTTTACCGGTTTCTTAATGTATTTTGTTCCATTAAGACACAATGCAAAACATTCTAAATTTAGATTGCTAAAATACGCGTTAAGGCAGACTGAATGGATTTCGTCATGAAACTTAAACGTTTATAAAACCATCTTTAGAAAAAAGTTTAAGTTGTAAGGGATAAATGTCCCTTGTGGGATTCATATAATAGACATTGAACAAACACGAAATCATCCAAGTGGTATTCGATTTAAAAGAAACTTATAATAGAATCTTTCGTCGCGACAAAACAAGTATACGTCGACTCAGCAAAACCGATTTTATACAAATAGATTATTTCACTCTTTTTCATTGAAAATTGAAACCGCGGAGGGTTAAATAAGAAAAAGAGGCTTCAATGAGAAACTGGTCAATTGTTGAAAATAATAGGACCATCCGCACGAATCCTATCAATTCAGAATTCTTTATAATCGATGACGTCAAACTACTTTCCCTAGGGAAACAAACGGTAATCGAAATTAGACATTTTAAAAAAGTAGCACGGGGACAGAAATAAACACTCTTTAAGAAACAATCCCATGACTTTTCTTATTGAAACTGATTTAGTCATATAATTCCGTAGAACAGCGAGACGCTAAACACAGGGAGAAGACGAGGACAGTACGCTATATATGTTCACGAACCCACTGACACCAAAGAGATACCAGCAATGTCATGATTGTGCAAAGTACTATATTTTGCACCCCTTTAAAGACAACATATTGCAGATATTTTGTTTTTCAGTTTGCACACTGACATATTATAAAATATTCACAAATTTTTCCCTCTGATAATTTTTCCCTACTTTTGTTCAAAGGTCTTGCATTACAATTAAAGCAGTGAAAGCCTAACTGTATATTTGGCTAACCCGTACACTCTCGCATGCTGCTTTTTCATGTTCCATTTTAAGATCGATTTTACCTAATATTGTCTCTATAGACCTTCTCGCTATACCCCCACCTCTCTCCCTTCCCTCCCTCTCTTCTTTACCCATCTCCTCATCCATTTTCCACTGTTATTCCTTTATCTCACAATCCTCGTTTCATTTTGTTCTCCCTCTCCTTCTCTCTATCTGTCCACCCCTTCATTCTCGCCCCCCCCCTCTCTCTCTCTCTCTACCATATCAACAATACATACATAGCTCATCCTATCCATTGTGACTGCGTCTTCCCTCTCGGCAATTCTTTATTTGATTACACCATTTGTCGTGAATGTCACCCCCTCCCTCTCTCTCTCTCTCTCTCTCTCTCTCTCTGCTTTCCCCGACAAGTCAAGCTGGCAACTATCCGGAGGCTAGTGTGTATGTTGTTTTCATTAGTGCCAACATCTATGCATTTTATTGGCTTTCGTATTGAATGGATACCAAATCTACCATTGTTCATAAAGAGAAGAAACCGGGGCAATCATAGACTTAGCCAAAGATAATGTACAATTGTGACGTCAATGCTTTATTATTCACCATCGCGATGGTTGCGTTATATATATTTTTTTTATACCCCTTTTGATTAGTCGAATTCCTGAACTCGACAGAAGGCTCAGCTAGTTTGGAGAGAGAGAGAGAGAGAGAGAGAGAGAGAGAGATAGACTTTAGGTCAATGGTTCTGACACGGAATTCCTGTTTCAGAGGTCCACGGTTCAAAACCGCGATGGGAACACTTCTTGCGGACTAAGAAAAAAACGAGTACCCCTGACGTTGAAAATAAAGATCTAATAAAGATCTAAAGATCTAACAAAACAATACACACATTTTGAAGTGTTGCACTTATATTAGAGGTGATCATAACTCGTTACCCTATAGGAATGAATGCAACCGTAAGTATTTTTGTTAAATAATCTTCTTCCTCGTCCTCCCCTGTTATGGTTTTATCTATACTACTCGATTTCATTGCGTTTGTGTTTCATTAATTCAGATCACCTACCCCATTCATATGGCGAGCGTTCTTGGAATGCCACGAAATATGACACATCGCGTGACATCGTATGGACAGCAAAATTGTTAGGGCTCTCTTTTACATTCTTTAAAAAAAAAATTAAAAAAAGTACATGAAAAATTCAAAAGAAAAATTACATGAAAAATAATGTGCAATATCGAAATGTTTAAACATAGTCAAATAGTAAAATGACACACACTTGTTGATTAATTAAAGAGACTGAAAACAAATTTGAAGAGTGTTTCTTTTTACTGTTTGAAAGTCTTTAAATATAT